GGTTCGATCGCGTCTCTTGCTCTCTTACTTTCATCTCTTGGACGGGTTCAATAACAGGAAAGTATATGAAGTTGATTGCTTCTACGTCTCAATTTATACTTGTAATACCACCAAAGTCGCTACTTTCAAGTACGGGAAATGCATGACCATGTTACTTTTGTGATTGGTGTAAACGTGGGGGCGTGTCTTTGGACGGCCAGGGGTTGAGTGGTGGAAGCTAATAATCTAGAGAGAAACATGACGATTGTAGTCAAGTACAGTACTAGATTTGTACCTACTAAGGCGGACTACTATACAGACATGCATAGTGATGGAGGAACTCAGAAAGGCAGTCAGCCTGGTCAACATTGCAATCAAATAGAAGAAGAAAAGGGGACATCGAGTTGTCCCACAACAGTAACATAGTCTAAATTGAGTTTGACACATATCGCCTGCGCAAAGTACACAAACTAGAACACGAAGGGAAATTAAGCTCACCTTTGCGAGAGAAGGTCTTGCCACAAACATTGCATTTGTGTTCACCTCTGTTCTCAGGTTGAGATGCCTCTGCACCACCATAGATAGATCAGATACACAGTGAAGTCAGTGTCAGACTCAATAGTGTGGCGCACAATCAAAGCCAACTCATGCATGTGCACACGGAAACGAGCACACATGCACAGCCACCCACGCGTACGTACACACACACACACACACACACGCACACACACACGCACACACACACGCACATGCACAAACAGAGGAAGGTGGACAGTCTGCCACACCACGTACTACTGACAGAACTGTGGTAACTCACCGTGAATTGTTGGACGTTTCAGACCGCCATATCTCATCCAATACTCCCAGCAAGGAGAGCAAAGCGGCTGCGCATTGGTGTCTCCACCATGGTTCCATTTGTGCCAGCGTACAGATGAGGTGGCTACAAGAAAAGATACAAACACAAATATGTATTAATACTGGCTTTTACCAACACGTGCCACAGCACTACTAGCACCACTGCAGACAAAGGTAGAAGGGCACCAAACAACTTGGACTTACCCGGACAGCCCTCGCATCGACCTTCAATTTCCGGATGACGACTAGCAGCCGTTGCCAGCTGTGCACCGTTACCGTTACTTGCCTGGCCCACCGTTCGTGGCGTTGAAGCACCATTTGCACCGCCTGGCTGATTCTTACTAAAATACCAGCAACAAGAAAGAGAAGAGCATGAGGAATGTCAGCAACGTTGCGAGCACAAGTGCCAGCAATACACCCTGTTACTACAGCATAGCATACACAATTTCACTTTCTTTACACACATCCAATCAGCTTCCAATCTCTCTTGTGTACAAGGCTCTGCCCTACATAGGTATTGGGCACTCTTCGGACAGCGAAGCACACCACTTGATTACACACATCCATGAATGTCACGCTGACTTGACTGAGAATGTCTTCACAACTAATCTCATCTCTCCGAGCAGAGCAAGCCAAGTATCGGCGGGTGCTATAATAATGGCGTGGGTCCCAAAGCCTACTAACCCACTAAAGGAGCAGAGTATAGTTTCAATCCACGAGATATTCAGACTTACGAGATGCTGATGCGGATCTGCTTCAGGGAATTTCCATTCTTCTCATTGTGCTTCTGCTGTTTCTGTGGGCAGGGGAGAAAGAAACAAAAGGGGCAAAAGAAGAAAATTAATCGAACACATACTTCTTTATTTGCCGGTAACCTGCCTAACTAAGATTTCTAGTTTCTTGAATGGCCACGTAAACTGAATACGAACAAGGCCAACCCATCCACAACATTCGGGCCTGGTTACACAAGCTGTCCACCTGTCCACAGGTGTTTTCCAGACTAAATCATGCAGCTAGGACAAGAAGGCACAAGAAATCGTCAATGCCCGTTCCGGCATACAGCTACCAGAGCTGGTACGGACTGGCATTGGTTGAGCATCCCACCACCCATAGCGTAGATCCACAGAATGGGCATGCTAGACTGCCAGATTATATTGCGTACAACGCATTGCCAGTTTTCCACACACATATGCGAGCTGGCAGATCAGCCCCACCTGCACCACCAGGCGTGTCCCTTACCACTCTGAGGTATCGCTCTGTTGTCTTCCACATGTAGTAATACTCGACCAGACTCTTTACGCTCTTCCAAACCAGCTACAAGACAGAAACAGGGGGCAAAAGGGGGAATAAAACCAAAGGTGAAGCAATCACAAGCAGTCCATGCCATGTGTGTTGGCAGGCTCTACTGAGTCTACTGCATTGTGAAGATTGCCTTGTACAGACAAACTACAGTATAAAGTAAAAACTCAACTGACAGGACAGAAACGAATTCAAACAATATAAAGTAATCATATGCACTGGGTAGTGTGGTGTATAACTTAATTGTGTGATAGATGCACTTGACACCGTATGAATTAACACGTTTTGCTCTACCATGCACTTACTGAGTTCTTCTGTATGTCAAAGAAATCCTTTCCATATTTGACGAGAGACTGTTCGAACTGTGCCACCTCATCTGCAGAATACAGCATAAAAATTAACAAATAGCCAGGAATCAGCTCAGCTCAGCTCAACACACCCCCCCCCCCCCCACACACACACACATTTGCTCACTGCCAGAGACTGGGAGAGGGTAGATAGATTGCTGTGTGTTAAACACAGACACACAGACATGCATGTGCACATAAGCATACACATCACAAATGCCAAGGATTGATCATAGAAGCCCTAACGTTATCCAGCTAACATGAATGGTCAAAAGAAGGTACCCACCTGGAGTCCAGTTCTCCAGTTCATCTCTGCACAAGAGAGGCCCACCCTGGGGCACAAGAGCGCACACTGCCTGTGACAAGTTGTACCGATAGCGGTGCAGAGTGGACATGGCATGAAACTGAAATAGAACACACACAGGAACAAACAACAACCGAAGGTCATAAACCGAACAGCTATACCACGAGCATTTCGAAACTACACCTACACCAAACCGGAAGAGAGAGAGAGAGAGAGAGAGAGAGAGAGAGAGAGAGAGAGAGAGAGAGAGAGAGAGAGAACCAAACTATGCGCCTGGGCAGCAAGAACACAGAAGAATGGAAGAGAATTAACGAGTGGCATGACACAAATTGGGTAGCAGCTAATCACGCACCAGTGTGACGTCTCTGGAAGCGGCGGCAGCACTGACGCACAAGCTCGGCTGGTTCCGGGATGAGATCATGGCACGTGCAAACGTACCTACAGATCTGTGCCATGACAGACAACACACAATGATAGCATTCTACAGAGAAGTACACATACCCAAATATTCAATGTAGGACATTATAGCGTAATCCCCCCCCCCCCCCGCCCTCTTTACTTTTCTATAAATTTATCCTTGGCTCTCCATCCGAGTCCATTTTACTTAGGGTTAGGAATTGCACACGATCCAGCATTCCATAGTATTGACAAGAGTGATTGACAAGCCGTAATGAAGTGTTAACATTAGAGAACCGGATGTACTCATTATAGCTTTGCTTGTCAATAGCCACCCCACTACACATTCACTCCTATTCAAAGCCTCCATAAGTAAGTAGATAGATTGTGAGCAACGCAATACAAGTACAATGAACAGACGAGCCAGACACTACCACTGACCTTGCCAAGACCATGAACTGATCAACTTGCTGGCTCGTCAGGTTGTCTGGGCACCAGACCTGAGTAGCAGCAGCACACGCCGGTTCATTTTCGTCCTCCTGGCCTGCACAAGCACAACACGATGAACAACACAGCAGCATACACTGCATACATATAGCACAACACGATAAACAACACAGCAGCATACACTGTATAGCACAACACAGCACAGACTGCATATAAGCCGGTACGGGCACAGTGGCGAACGAGCAACCATTTCCTTTTTCAGTACTCAGCGCCACAGAAAGCAACAGCAGCAGTGGAGGGTACCCACACAGTAATACTAATAATAATAATAATAATAATAATAATAATAATAATAATGACAGTTCGCATATCACTCATTGCATGAGGTCAACGCATCTGTTGACAATTCCAAGCCAAGCAGCTCTATCAGAAGCAGATTGCACAGCATCCAGCCACACAGTAATGCACGGGCATAATTGCACACTGTACCTGGCGGAAGCATGTCTGGAATTTCGGCCTGGTACTTTGGGCCGGTGCGAATCTCGCCACTCTCCTCAACCAGCGTCCTCTGTTGGCTGTCATACACCAGTGAATAGAAAAACTTGTGCTGCATTTCCAACAACCAACAAGCAAACACAGCAAAAGGAACAAGCAGAAATGAAGCAAGAGGGCCTACCTGCTCACATAATTTACCTGTACCGTTCCGAGGCCACATGCACACATCCATTCCGTCAGAAATGCATATGACTGCACATATGGCATTTACTGTAAAACGGCTAATTTTGGCAGGTAAAGTCACGTGCATTCCCAAAAGCAATCCCGGTTTTTAGACTGGCTGGATACTTGATGTTCACGATGTCCAATTGCATCAAGACTTGTCGGTGGTGTCAATACAGCATAGCAAAGTCGATAAGAACAAGCAGCTTCCTCAAAAAACAACATTAACAAGCGAAGTAACAGCAAAACAGCATGCAAGACGAACAGCATGCCGTGGGTATTGCAGCTGCACTTCTTACATTTTCCTTCAGGTAGTAATCTGGGCTTTCCTCCTCGCAGAGCAAAGTCACTTCGCAACGTCCACTACAGGCACAGGGAGACATGAAAGACACGCATCGAAGTCAAGTGCTGCGAAACAGTACAAAACTGACAGATGAGTCTACATGGTAAAGGTCCTGGTCCAAGTGCAGCTTGACAACCAACCACAACGATAGTCAAAAGCAATCTTTACTCGCGAAGTGCAAGGACACATCCCCCGCAACGGCAACAGCCAGTGGGTGACGATTAAACTTACCGAATGAGACTGACTTCAAACGTGTCATTATCTCTGGTTAGAAACAAGTGGCGGTGAGACAGCTGGTGCTGCTGGTCTGTGCTGAGCTTACTTGGGAAAAAGCCGTTGTTTGGGCTGTCTTCCTCAACATCCTCTGCAGAACACAGATAAAGGTCCAAAGGGCAACATGTAAAGAATTACTCTCTACTGTGAACTCTCACCACTGTCGTGGCCAAAGAAATCCGACAAGCGAGGCAAAAGCAGCGCCCTGTTTCCATTTCAAGTACATCATGCACGGTCCGAACACCCACCTGAAGGCCGCGGGGGCCGCATGAGCCTTGGCACTGCTTTCGCCACGTGATTAGGACTTCTTTTGCCACGCCGGTACAGTGTAGTATGCTAGCCACACAGCATGCATAGCAGTCACACGATCCACACTAGAAGCAGAGTCCATGACAAGACGGCACCAGTACGAAACTTTCTTCACACTCACCCAAATGCTTAGCCGCCGTCAGCTTGAGCGTTGTGTTCATGTCGCGCATGCGCATGTAGCGACTCACAGTCGCCTCCACTGTACCAGAACTGGACTGTGGCACACACACATTACGATAAACACATGAATCAAGAACATGTGAGCTGGTGTCGCGATCACTTACACATTGACAGCCATTGCAACTAAGCTGCAGAAAAATATTCATCACTCGCAAAACCTGCAATCAAATCATCGTGATTTGTGCTGCACTCCACTCTGCGCAATGGCCGTGTACTCAGCAACATTTAGCTGCTGGACTAAAATGCCCACCTGGGTGCCTACCCGCCGGCCACTACTCACCAACCCCTAGATTGGTCAGCGTAGGCATGTCGATATTATTGCTGCATGCTACTACAATGAAACTCACCGCGGTGCACAAGCGGCCATGTAACAAGCAGGCAAGAAGTGCAGCGCATCTCCATCAGCTTGCATAGACTCTTCATCTCATCGTGCACAAAGCATAGTAGACGCCAGGGAGTAGTAAAATACAGGGAGGTGACACGAGCATGTACGGCCAGTTTGACGATTGCCTCAGCACCGTTTTCACCCGGCGGGTGAGATTGGGGTACTATGGGTACCGAAGTGTGTAGACACGCGCGCGGATCAGGATTCTCTCGATCAGGGAGTAGTAAAATACCTACCGCCAAAGAGACTCCTACTGCAGCCCGTAGAAGCTCAGCGCTGAGAATTTCCAACAATTGTCTGCCTTCACAAAGTCTGGTAGTCGACCAAACTACCACTATGTCAGGATAGAAGTCCAGCAAGAGTGGTATCACTTTGCGAGATATCCCTGCGTGCCGTAGATTTTTCCTGTGTCGATACAAGCTGTTTACGACGACGTAGCCCGCATTTCAATCCTTGACAAACTTAGGAACATTTCATTCCGAAAAGTGAACTCCCGAATCTCTAGCATACCATAATATGAAATGCTCATCATCACAAAGAAGGTAGAGAAGTACTGGTTGATCACAACCGAGGAGAAATTAGGGGCGATCGTGTGGTGTCCTAGAGATTTTTTCGACTTCAAAATCTGTGCACTCGCTTTTCATCTCCAATCGTACACGTATTGTTCTCAAGGAAATCACCTTCCTTCTATTGCTCCATGCCGTCGATCGGGACGATTTTCGGAAGGGTGGTACCTTTCCATATGACGATGACACAGATGTATCACAAGAGCAAAACAAATGCTGTTCCATGAGATGGATAGACCTTTTCACGGAATTAGTTCTTCGACAAATACTCAAGATTGATTCAGCAGATCATCTTTTTTTGCGAAAGAAAAAAAAAAAAGCGAGGCACCCATCAAAAATCACGATTAGTGGCGTGTCACCTCCCTGTATTTTACTACTCCCTGGTAGACGCTGAGTGAAAGAGGCTTTTACTCCTATCCAGTGGGTGCACTGCGTAACACAAAGCATGAGCAGGCTATTGCACAACTAACCTTTGAAATGGAGTCCAATCGACAAATGTAGTACGGCTCTTTGTTGCTGTTGACTTCCATAAATACAAAGTCTGTGCACATACATGAAGATAACAAGAAAAATGAACGCACATAGCAGTCGTGTGAAGCTTGGCAAGTACCCGTAATCATTTCAACTAACTGCAATTACTACGTACATGCATATATCAATCTGAACTTCTCTTAGTATAGCACTTTATAACAATGAACGTGTAGTTTAACCCTTTTACGGTCTCACATTTGAAAATCGATCACCGGTGATCGATTTTTCAAACTATCGTAACTCAGTCAATTTTTGAGCAAATTCGAACATCTAAATATCTGGGTTGAAGAGAAAGCTCCAGGCTATCCGTAGGAACAATCGCCAAAGCGATAGAGTGAACGGCTGCGATGCTACGAAGCTCGCGATCTGCGTCACGGCTCATTTACGATTTGAGTGGGCGAGCTGGGTCTTGAGGACGGGTTTTTCCCTTTGCAGCTACCTGTCGCCATAGAGACACGGATTCAAATGAGAGTATCGACTCGCAGCACTCCTCACAAAAAATATGAGCTCGATGTGAGCAAGGAGAGGGAAATGGCTGTTGAATCTTGTTTCTCGTCGTGAATCAAGCACTGGGGCGATGTCGCTGCGCTGCAGCGCTGGATCCACGGCACGCTTGGTGTCGAATTGTAGCTCGGCGTGTTGCTCTTGTCCAGAGCTTTCCAGAGAGCCCAAGATCACGAAAATAGGCGAAGGGAAACTGAAGTTATGGATGAATCAAGGTACGAAATTGTTGAATTCTGTAAATAGCCTCATTTTGACTGGATTCTGAGACCGTGAAAGGGTTAACCAATCCCAGCGGCACACTTCTGCAATGCCATAGAAACAACGCAAGTCCTTTAAAAAGGTAAACTCGGTCAGCGAATGGAACTAGACAAAGCGATACGATCATAGGCTAGGTAGATAGGCACCTTGACGTTTTAGACGGGTGCAACATGGAAACAAAAATGGCAGACAGAATTTGATTAAAACCAACCAGCCGGTCTTCGCAACACACGTCTATGGAATATACACATGACTGTTTGGATGGTCTAGATGAACAGCATACAGGCGCGTGCGCCGTATGGGTTCCTGGGTGCCCGGAACCCCCTTTTTTTCGCTCAAAATGCAGGATTTTGCTTCATTTTTTGAAAATTTTCCCGGGGGAGGACCCCCGGAACCCCCCTTGAAGGGCACCGGCGCACGCGCCTGGCATATCAGTGATGCACAGCTCATACCAGTGGTTACTGCACATGATGTAAGCTGCCTGAGAGATACTAGTACATGTATGCGGCTTTAAAAATACATCGTGAGAAATAATACTGTTCACAGAGTGCAGCACAATTTCAACTTCCTCATCCCCTCCAAACCCCCACTAGGTTGGCTACACAACTGCAGGGTACGTCACTGCTTGTGGAACCTGCTTACCTCCGACTCTGTACAAGCCCTCGCACATTGCATAGGACGCCATGTCGCCTCAGACTTATGCACTCAAGACCCATGCACAGCGGAGAATGCTGCAAGCAAATACCAAGCGCGCCACACAGGAGCAACATGAAACTACCACAACACACAACAATGCCACAGCATTGAGTTGAACAAGGTTTTGCCTTTAGGAAATGGAAAGATAGGCACTATTGAGTATTGTAGGGATGAAAATATTATAATAGAAAGAGAATAGAATGGACAAGATCAAGGTGCGCGCCCTGATTTTAGACGTGCGGGATACTGACATAAAGAGTACACGTGCAAGGGACCTCTGGGGCAAAGCTCACCTGCTCAAACGCCGTTCTTTCACGAATTCTTTCGCCACATCCAAAGAGAAGATTCAACTCTCGAAGAACAAACTAACTAGTTACTTGTTGGAACAGACACGCACGGAAAACAACCTACGCACGAGCTGCTCAAACGTGTAGTCGCGGTTGCATGAGCAAACCAGATCAGAAGCAGTGCGCGTCCCATGCCATGCCCGGCGCCCGGCCCGGCCCGTGGATTTTAGGGGGATTGCATATTTTTACCAGTGAACTCTTGATATTACTCATTTTTGCGAGAAAGAAGAAAAGGCTGCTGACGTCACGAGCAGAAATTTTCGGTGGTGTAATTTTTTCGGTATTCTCCAAAATCCGAACCCATAGCCGCTACTATAAAAATTAATATTGGTCTGAGAGGGATGCAGTGAACTTCTTATAAGGAGACCGTAAAAGTGAAGAGCCGTGCACGTCCGTGGGTTGCAGAAAAGTTTCCGAGAACGAGATATTCCTCTCTTCTCTCCATTAAATGGCCATTGGGCGTAAGACTTTATATTAAGGGCGCGTTTGGTTGGTACGAACTAGAACAGGATTCACCAGAACAGCGCGTTTGGTTGGGACTGCACCTGTTCTGGGTCGGCCAGAACATGTTCTGCTTGCTCCGGCCTCGAGGCCGGAGCAGACCGAGCAGTTTCACTTTTTCACAGTGAAACCTGGCGGGAACATCGATTTTGGTCCCAAATGATCACGTGCATACGCTTTTGGGTTAGACTCGTTGTACCGTACAAAGTGACCATGGTGACCATACACATTTTTGAAGGATGCACCAAGTTTGGCACATTTTTCCACAAAAATGTGCTCTGTTTCTGGAGTACCGTTTGGTTGGCATGAGGCTGCTCCATGTGCACCAGCTGTTCGATCCTGTTCTAGATCGTACCAACCAAACGCACCCTTATATGCGGGAGGAGGGAATTCATTTTCATTCATTCAGACTTTATTTGAAGGATTCTCCAAAAGTAAATTATTATTATTATTATTATTATCATTAAATTTTGAATAGGGCAGTCCCACAGGCCTAGGGCCTTTTTACAGGGTACCCTATGAATTGTTGAATAGATGAACGGAAGTTTCTGAGCAAGGAGATTGTGCGAATATCAGCAGGAAGCGCATTCCAACGATCAGAAGTAAATGGATACTAGTACTCAGTATCGGGGGGGGGGGGGGGGCGGGTTCCTGGAAGGGTGGATGAGACGAAAGGGAAGTGAAAAGGGGCTAGGGAAAATACTTAGCAGAAACACTGCTCAAGGAAAACTACATGTACAATACGTCGTACTGTCTTTCAAATGGTCCTGAATCTTTTAAACTTCACTTCTCAACTCCAAAACGGTCCTGAATCTTGTTGTTGTATGTAATCCGTTACGTCCATCAGCACAACCGCTCAGGCGTCCCTTATCTATATCAGAGACAGCGAGTCGAGCGGATGACTCAGCCATCTCCGGGTGCGAATAACCCAGCCGTCGTGCACCACGCAGGCAAGCCAGTGAGTGCGTTCGATTATGCACGCGAATCGATTCACGAATCAGGTCGTTCATGTCCATCAAGCGCCGCTTCGACCTTGAGCGCTGTGGACTGGAGGCGGTTTGGCTCGAATTGCGGCCAGTGATCCTTCCCTCACTCCCCCTCATCATCTGCTCTGTTTACAGACCCCCTGGCCGGAGACAGCATCTCCCAAGTCCAGACATTTAGTGACCTCCTAGAGGACTGTCTGTCCAACATTAGCCTCCCCAATTCTGCGATTGTACTTGCAGGAGATTTGAATGCTCGCCACTCTGACTGGTCTCCTAGAGACACTACGAATCGTGCTGGAAGGGAGTTCCGCAACCTCTTCTCTTGTTTTGGCCTTGAGCAAATGGTGACATTCCCCACACACTTTACCCCCCCCCCCCCCATGGCTCAACATCGTGTATTGACGTTGTGCTCACGGATCATCCTCACCTACTACTCTCTGTTACATCTCTTGCTCCTCTTGGTGCATCTGACCACGCACAAATCCTCAGTCACTTCCTACTGGCGTACTGCCTACTGATGCTGTTTATCGTGAGGAACCTGCTGCAAACGGACATCCCGCTGCTGCACCCCAATACCACTTCAGGAATGTTCCTGGAAAGCCGGGATATGACTTTAAATCCGTGCCATCTTCCCGGTCTGGGATAGTGTGAATGCAGAGCTCGCTGACATTGACTGGAGCTGGCATCTGCGTGCCAGCAACGTCAATGATGCGCTTTCGCACTTTTCTTCCATTCTCAACAGTGCCCTTGAGAAGCACCTCTGGCCGTTCGGAAAGCAGCCGTATTCTCACCGCTGCCCACGTCCCAGTCAGCCACCCTGGGTTGATGCCCATCTCCGCACAGCAATCAAGTGGAAATATGATCTCTATAGCATTTTTAAGAAGTACCCAACACAACAAAACAAACAAGCATACCAACAGCAGCGAAATAATGAAAACCCTGACGCGGACAAAGTACAGAGCTTATATCCGCTCAGTGCAAACTACTTTGCAGGGTAGACACCGTCCATCGCTTCACCAGTTTGTGAGACAAGCAAGAATTCGAAACGTATCACGGGAAATTCCGTCACTCACCACAGGGACTCAGCAGGCGGCTGACCCTTTGGCCAAAGCTACCGCATTGAACGCCCAGTTTGCTTCTGTGACTCGGCCAGATGACCCGTTGCTCTCTATTCCCCCTATTCTCACCCCCTCGGAGCCCTCAGCTTGTTTCACGTCCGTCATCACCACAACTGCCACTGTCTGGCGTCATCTGAAGAAGCTTCCGACGTGCAAGGCATCTGGTCCCGACGGCATCCCCAACCGGGTCCTCAAGGCCCTGGCACCATCCATAGCATTCCCTTTGTGTCATATTTTCAACATGTCATTTACCTCGGGCATATTCCCTTGCGCATGGAAAACAGCGAAAGTCATACCCATACAAGAAAGGTTCCCGCCACGAACCAGCCCCACCTACCTGCAAACTACCGCCCTATCTCTCTTCTTCCCTGCGTGTCCAAAGTATGTGAACGCATCTTTTATGATCACTTATACATACATGTACATGTTTCGCCGTTTCTGAGTCCCGCACAATCTGGGTTTCGTAAAGGCGGCTCCACCTCCCTTCAACTGACCCGCATCGTGCAGCAGGTGTGCCAGCATAGGGATAACAGAGCGCTTGCTGGTATTTGCTTCTTTAACTTGGCCAAGGCGTTTGATACCGTCTGGCATCGAGGACTTTTGGCCAAGCTCGAGCATGCATTCATGGTACGTAAACAACCACTCTCCTGGCTGAAATATTATCTCTCTGGGCGTTATCAGTACGTAACTGTGCTGAGCCAGTATTGTCAGGCGTTCCTCAAGGATCAATTCTTGGTTCCCTACTATTTATAATTTACGTAAACGATTTACCTGCAGTCTTCCCTGGAACGTCTCTGTTTGCTGACGACACGACCCTTCTCACCTCATCAGCTTCCCTCACTGGCCTGAAAAACAACTTGCGTGCTGGCATTCAGGAAGTTCTCTCCTGGATGTCGTCCTGGAGATTGTCTCCAAATCTATCAAAAACAAAGATCATGCTCTTCCCGCCCCAGCCAGAGTTCACAACCCTCATCCATGCCAACTTTCCAAATCCAATTGACATAGTGTCTTCTCACAAACACCTTGGCATTGTGATTGACTCTGCACTCTCTTGGGTACCCTACATCGAATATATCTGTAAAAAATCAAGTAAATCCTTAGGAATTCTCTCCCCCCACTGCTCCTACCTCCCACTTTCTTGCAAGCTTCATTTTTATTTAGCCTACCTTCGCCCAATATTTGATTATGCCGATACGTCTTGGGTTGGATTATCCTCTTCCGCTGCTCCAAAGCTTGAAATACACCACAAGAAAATCCTTAAAATTCTCCTCCGTCAACCCCACATGCTCTCATCATCCGCCCTTTATAAAATCGCTCACACAACCCCGTTATCACATGGACGCAGTGCACACCTGGCTTCTCTTGTCCATTCTATTATTATTAAGCTTGAGTTGTGCCCACCTCATCTCATGTGTTTTAATTGGTTCTCTTCTCTAAGAACTAGAAACTCGCTCTTACTCCCTAAGTGTAACTCATCCACTCTTTTGCGCTCCCCTCTCTTTGTTGCTTATTCTGTTTGGCTCACTCTACCCAGAGAAGTTAAGGATCTGACCTCACTCCGCCTGTTTAAGATCCGTGCCGCCCCTTATTTACTACGACATAAAATAGCTCATTATCCACATGTCCTTTGCGTCTCTGTGTTTTTCACTGTTTTTATTAGACATTATCTTTCTTTACGGAGTTGTTGTTGCTGTTCATTTTGCTACTCTTTCTTTTCCCTCCCCTTACTTTTATTTATCGCCGTGGTTGGCAATCACCCACTCTCTTCACATTGGCCGGTGTTTCCACCGAGTCTTGAAGTGTTGTAATAAATATAAATATAATTTATTATAATCGATTCATGAATCGATTCGCGCTATTCACATCACCCCATGTGAATAGAGTGAATGGATTCCGAATCGATTCCAGGGCTCATGACATGAAATGGAACGACTTGAATGCATGCGAATGGATTCATGAATCGATTCAAGTGTGTAATCGAACGCACTCACTCTGGCACGAAGATCAAGAAGCGCAAAGCTGAACCTGCAGGGGGATCCATACATGCCAAAAATCACTGCAGTGCAGAGTATGGCTCACCAGATTTGTTGGACCGGCATTAGCCAAAATAATTTAGGCTGAGGAGTGTGGGCTGCGTCCCACCCGCCTGTGTGGATTCACAGGAGGTGTGAGTTACGAAGTCTGAAGAAAGTGTTGAACGGTCTCTGCTGGGATGACGACTACACCATAGCTCAGTGGTTAGGGCATCGCTAGCTACAAGCGAGGGTCCCTGCTGGTTCGAGTCCTGGTGGTGACAGTCAATTTTTCTTCAGACTTTTCCCGTTTGTGTCTTTCCCTCAAACTAGTCAAGATTTAGGCATTACAGCTATTCTCTTGAGCTGAGTTGAGGAGAGCGGCGGCAGCTCGACCAGTACTCAGAAGTGGATCTATCACCGGTTGCTGCGAAAACCGCAGGGGCGAAGGTTCCGCGCTCAATATCCTTGACCCGCTGTTCATAATTATCGCTTTCGCTTTTCTCGTTCATGACGCTGGTTGCAAGAAGTGATGGAAGAGGATCGATTTGAGGAATGAGGGAGCAGAGGGGTTGAAAACCCGAGTATCGAGAAAGACTCTCTCAAATTGACCTCCCCAAACACCAATTGCCGCAACATCAAGTCGAGCCTGGTCTTCTGTGGAGGCAGTCTTCGACTCTTGTAGCGGAACTGGTTACTGCTCACCAGATAGCGGTTGCAAGTGTGGCTCGATGGCGACACTATTCGCGACACGTTTCAATAGGGAGGCAGTGATGTCCCGCACCTCAGGCATTGTGTCGCAGTGACGGAAACCTCCGGTGCCGCACGTCAGGGCATGGGCTACTGTGAATCTGGCTCCACAGACACAGGTTGATGGTGAACGAGAAGGCCGCCAGCCATAGCGCAATGCCAAACCATCACGAAACTCGCTTTTGCTAAGTTTTGGACAGCACAAATCCATGACGGGAATGGGGATAGAGGACGACATGTAACTTTGTAAGCCAGCTGGAGGCGCCAGGTTCACTTGCCAACTGAATCGTGGGCTGCGAAGTGGGTTACGCGTCGGCTGTGAAGCCACGGATATCGCGGTCTTGGCTTTCTGGCGGTGATCTACACGCTGTGACGCTTTGGCTGAGGCAACTTGGCAAGAGCGTCCCTCACACTGAAGTCTTGGTTGAGGATGTTGGTGGTGAGCACCTCTGTGATCGCGCAGGATGAGGCGTATTGGGTTGTCAGAGATGTTGGATTGGCGATGCCCAGGCCACCATCCTGGCAAGGGAAGGCAAACAGTCGTCGTAGCTCCAGACTGACCCGGTCTTCTCCAGTCAGGGCTGGCAGCAGCTTGGTAACAATGGCGTGTTCCAACTTATCAAGACCACTGGATGCATCCGGCAGAACACGACACAAGAATGTCCAGCGGCATGAGAGAGCACGAACAAAAGCAGTGTACGCTGCCTGGGGCTGGGTACGAGCAAAATATGAGAGTGTCTCAATCTGCTTGTACCAACCATTCGTCGGCCTTCTCCTGGATGTACCCCTGCATGTTGTGGGGCGTGCCAATAGCAGACCCCAGGTAGCGGTTGCCATCAGATGTTACTTGGATGCCAGTATCAGCAAAGAGGCGCACAGCATCGTCGCAGGCATGTGGCTTGACGACAAGCACAGACTTCCGAGCATTGAGGTGATATCCGTAGGACGGACCTTCCGCCTGCAGTTTGTCCCACCACGATCGAATTGCTACAAGACAACCACCTGCAGATGAATCGTCCGCGTATCAAAGATGGCAGGTGTCCGGGGTTGCCACTGCTCTCACAAGTGGGAGGATGCCGAGAGCGTAGAAAAGCATCGCCGGGGGTCCCCCTGGGTTGTGCCTTCTTGTGACAGAATACACTCCCCTGCCACATACAAGTTGCTGGACCGCCGGTACTAATTGATTAACTTACAACTACTGCAAGAGCGGGGCATTGAATGTTTTGGATGGCCATATTGCGGTTCAGGTTATTGAACGGATTTGCAGCGTCCGCCATAATGACGCCCACCGTTTCCTCTTGGGCGTAGACTTGATGCACGGCATGAATGGATGCCTCTATGCCGAAATATTGTCCACCACAGAGTTGCAAACTTCCCGCTGCTTTCTGGATGTCGTCGCCAATGACGAACAAGATGCTTCGGCCGATGATGCGACGCACTACCCGGTCCCAATCCCTATCGGTCTCACCCGGGGCCCTGGTCGGGTTCTTGTCCAGAGGGACCAATCGGGAGGCGAGATAGGCCTCCAAGGCTAACGGATCGATGTACTGGGTAGCCAATGGCGAGCACATACATGTAGGACTAGTGCATCACAAAATTTAATAGAGTCCGATGCGGCCTCTGCAAAACTGGTTGCCATCCATCTCAGCCATGTGTCCGCGTCTATGCCTGATGGGCCTGCAGCACCATGACTGCATGAGTGTTTAAAACAGCCTTCCTCTTGCCAGGGAGTCGTATTTTTACTATTTTATGACTTCTACCTTGGCTTGACGCATCATGTGTTTTTCGAACTTTTTTCTTCACTCACTAGCACTGATGAGAGTCTGAGCAAGACTTGCCAAGACTAGAGTCCATACTCAGTAACCCCTGGCCTGGGCACGATGATGGGGGTTATGTACTCTTGGTCTGAGTGATGAACTCGTTGGAACTAACTACTGTGACTTGCCAACCGGGTCGACCTGTGATCATGGTGATAGAGAAGACTTGTTACAGTTTACCATGGTTTACTGCTTGTGCTTGGCCTGCAGGCCTGGTAGAGCTACATCATTACATGTACATGTAGTGCATGCGACACAAACTGTCACTGTGTCAGGGGACTGGGGAGGCAGTTCTCAGACTCAGACTATGCCAAGCTGGTGACCAGGTGATCGTGAGCTCAGCCCAGCTGATGTCACACACGGCATGCCTCTTTCTTTGGAGACGTTCCACAACTACCAATGACTACCAGTACCACTAGCCCTGGCACTGGACTGCATGCCGGGCACTTGCCACCAGGGAGTAGGTATTGTACTACTCCATGCTTGCCACTCAGCACTGACTGTCAGTGTCACCACGTGATAAGACAGACTAGTGAGAAGTCGATCTAGACGTCACGTCTGTACTGTAGATCTACAGAGTGTAGATCTTCGGCAGTAGACCTACTGGAGTGTAGTGTAGTGCTGCCACTACTGCACTCTCCAGTCTCACTCTCAGTTAGTATTCACACTCACAACACGTCATTGTATTGACGACTGCTTGGCTGACTTGAAAACGATAATGAAGCGAGTAGAAAGAAGAGAATAGTCAGTCAGGTTTTATTGTCGTAGAAACGTCTTCGTTCTCTCTGTTTTCGCCCAGCTATTGCTTTTAGTTGGCAAGAGTTGGGAAAGTGGTGGTCACCCTGGAACGTAGGAAAAAGCTGAGGGAGGGTGGTGGCACTCCGCCGTCGTCTCCGCCACCCAAGAGACGAAAGCTATTTCCAGGTTCTTCATCTGTTCTTGATACAATGCCAACTAACGGTGCGGTTGCGACGAGCGGAGATGTCACCCCAAGTGCTGCCACATCCTCGAAACATGTTAATGGTGAATCCAGGGTATTCACCCGCTCCGAGAAAGAACTTCTCAGAGTGATTGGTCAGCACCTAACGTCGATGGGCCTTCGGTAAGGGCACAAAGGAGTACTTGGTCATTTGTTGTGATTGTAGCTTGCTTTCGCCAGTGGTGCGACCTTTGCTGTGTTCATGTGGATGGTTGTAGAGCTATGGCCATATGGGTGCCGGTTGCTTCTTGTTATGGCTTCAGTGGAAACAATCATTGACAGTCAGAACGAGCGTGATTTATTTAATTTTATCTTCAGCGTGCCTGCCACATGTATGCCATGCTGGAAGTGTACGACACCGTACTGAACTATGCCATAATTATTGTACTGATTATGATTACGAGTACAGTAATGTCGCAAGCCGTGCTTATTCCTATAGGAGCCGATGTCAGTGCTAGGCTTCTATTCAAGTCAGGCTTCTATTCGAACCACCAAGAGTAGATACCGTAATCAAGAGTGTGCAACTCCCGGATGGGATGACCCACGGCGGAATTTTTTGTTGACCTGTTGACCGGCGGAATCTTTTCTACGACCCACGCGCTGCGAGTCTTTTGGAAAGTTTTGCCTCATGCACTTGGCCGGGCTTTACATTACAAGGTCGGTGCCCAGCACGTGCTCTCACACTGCTCTGCGGCAAGATGTGCGTTTTTCTGAAAAAAGGTGACGTCAACAAAAAAATTCCGCCAAGGGCGGGGGTATCTGCAGATTGTGCAGGAGAGATCCGGATGTGCACACTCTTATTTATCTACTCTTGGAACCACGTATCTCTATGTATATCAATACTAAACCAGGCTTATCAAGCCGTGTGTGCTGACAGTGTATCTTAGGTTACTTTTGGTTGGTCACATTCCCAAATGGGAATCACTTGGAATAACTCGGAATCATTCTCGCCCGTTTGGTTGGTCAAAAAAGTGCGTTAGGTTGGTCCCATTCCAGAATGGGAATCGCTGAGAATGATTCTTTTTGGAGAATGATCATTCGACCTCACATGCTGGAATGAGCATTCTCATTCCGGAATCAAAAATTGTAATGGTTGCCACGAGCCAAACAATGTAGCATCAAGTTCAAGTGCCTCAAATCATGCACTCAGAAGTTCCTTGACTCTCTCAAGGAAACTAGAGTCAGGTAAAAGAGAAGAGTGCCGCCGTTCCACAACGACATCACGGAATTGTTATGTCAAGTGATTCCTAGTTGATTCTGGCGCGTTTGTTTGGTCAGGTGATTCTTACCCATTCCCATTCCAGAATGGTTGTCATTTACATTCTGAAAATGCCCAACCAAACGCAACCTTAGAAACAAGGCTACTATACGAAACAGGCTTTTATACAAGACACTACGGTATGTGAATAGTTTGCAGGCAACCTGCCTACACTCAAGAGAGCACTGCATTTCACACAAATCCATTAGAAGTATCGTTTCAAGGTTTCGGTATTCATGACCATCGATGTGTGAAATGCAGTGCTCTCTTGAGTGTAGGCAGGTTGCCTGCAAACTATTCAAGTGCAATGAAGCTGCGTGAAGCGTCCTTCAAAATTTTGACACTACAGTATGTATATGTAAATGAAACACTCATTCACGGCGAATGGCTTTGGCGAGACTGTTATACCGGTAGGCGATCCACACGACGTGTAGAGAGACATTCATGTGTATCGCACTGTATCCATGGAGATATACTTGTGTGGGGAAAGCGCGAACAGAACATTTTTGAACTTGGACATGAACCCTGTACCCATTTTGTGCATTGCACACGAGAGAAAAACAACGAAATTACGTGTGAATCTGCGGGGCTGCTTGTCCACTTTTACATGAACTTGTTGTCGTGTATTTACACTTTGTGTGAATCGCCTATAAGTATAAGTAGTATAAAGCGGGATTCACAGAAGCACCTCGGGAACTGTGCTATCGATTCAATTGTGCGACTTGAGTTGATTGTGTTGTGCAAATAGTTTCATTCTGAATCATACCGCATGTACTTGGGCCTGTACTTAACTCCTATTCTGCAGGCATACAGCTGATGCTCTTACAACTGAGAGTGGATGTGTTGTTGAACACTCTTTCGCTTCCAATTTTCGTTCGCATATCCTAATCGGCAACTGGGACGCTGTGAGTTCACCCGTGTTTGTTGATGTATTCCTTGCATCTGCATTTGCACATGGTGCGAGCTGGTAACCAGTTTCCCGTCCCTCAGCATCGTTATAAATGTCCAAACAGTCTTGATAAACACACACACCAGGTGGTCTCTTCGCTGCAATAACTTTATTACATGTAATATTCACCATGTTTCAGGCATGTCCCATCGTTAGGGTGAAACACTGCCAAATTCTAAGATAAAGCTGTCCATATGTTTTGTCAATTTCCGTTCTAGACACTGACGAATGGATTACCGGTAGGTTGGGGTTTTTTCCCCGATGCCCATGCAATGGTGCTATGATATCGGTAATTCAGTCACTTGCTTATTGCCTGTGTCTACCAGCTCTTTCATCTCTGTTCATTGCTTTGAGAATTGGGTTTGTTTCCTATCCGCTCTTTCTGTACTGCTTTGTCCACATAGGCACTGCATGACATTGATTCCATCAAAGAACATCTGAAGCACAATAATGACCTCATGGTAAGTCGTGTGATCAGTACCATATTTAGAATATACAGTGACACTTCAGTCTCTCCCTCCATCCCTCTCTCTCTCTCTTTCTCTTCCTCCCTCTCTCCCTCTCTCCCTCCCTCCCTCCCTCCCTCCCCCTCTCTCTCTCTCTCTCTCTCTCTCTCTCTCTCTCTCTCTCTCTCTCTCTCTCTCTCTCTCTCTCTCTCTCTCTCTCTCTCTCTCTCTCACACACACACACACACACACACGCACTCTCTCTCTCTCTCTCCCTCCCTCCCTCCCTCCCTCCCTCCCTCCCTCCCTCCCTCCCTCCCTCCCTCCCTCCCTCCCTCCCTCCCTCCCTCCCTCCCTCCCTCCCTCCCTCCCTCTCTCTCTCTCTCTCTCTCTCTCTCTCTCTCTCTCTCTCTCTCTCTCTCTCTTTCTCTCTTTCTCTCTCTCACACACACACACACACACACACACACACACACACACACACACACACACACACACACACACACACACACACACACACACACACCTAACTCCACTCCTCTGCCAGTCTATCTGTCTTTTTGTCATAATTGTGTCCTCTCTTGTTTCCATTAGTTTGAGGGAAAGGTGTTAACTTCTCTTGTTTTAATTTCAGATAATGCAATCACTCGTGTTGGAGCAAAAGTACCTGGAGCTGCTTGAGAAAGGGAACAAAGTGGAAGCCTTGAAGTGTCTGCGAACGCAGCTCAGTGCTATTGCTATCGGTGATCAGCGTATTCATGACCTATCTAGGTTCGTTCTATGCGTATGCATACCGGTATGCTCTGCAAAGGTCTTGTTACTGTCTGTTGTGGTCAAGACCGTCAATATAATCATGTGCATGGGTGCTTCGGGTTTCTTCGGTGTGTTCAGCATGTTCCTTCTGACACACACAGTTTGTGCCTTGCCAAGTAGCGTTGCTCGCGTTCCCCACGATCGTGTTGTGGGGTAAGCCTTGGTCCCCAGTATTTTCAGTAGTGTTTACTCGTGCATGTTTTGTTCTTGGTTGTGATTACCGCTGTTGTCTTTGTGTAGCTTTGCCATGTACTCGGATGCAGACGCTCTCCATCAAAAAGCAGGCTGGCCGGGTGTGGCCGGTGGTTCTCGAGAACTTCTCCTCACGAAAATTCACGGTTAGTCAGCGGCCGGCAGATGTGGGCAGTAGCGGAAAGTCTCTTTGGTCCGAGGGATAGGAAAGTGTTGTCCTCAGGGTGAACGATACTGATACTCTGATCTGCTGTATCAGAATCTCTGAATCTGATGTAGTCCTTGTGTGCCATGCATTTGTAGCCATGCGGGATGCTTGGGCCAGTCTCGAGACTCTAGTGAAGACTCGAAAGCTTGTGTGACTGTATCTTCTGAAATTGAATCTTCCCTTTTCCAAGACCAAAATTTAAGTTGTCTCGGTCTGCGTATGTCTGCAGGATTTTTACCGTCGGAGGTCATGCTTCCCCCGAACAGACTATCGGTGCTACTTCAACAGGCATTAGACCATCAAGTTGACAACTGCCGCTTCCACAATTCAGCATCTGCGCAGTCGGTCTCAGATCCAAATATGTCATTCTTCACTGATCACTTATGTACCACGTAAGCATTCCGTCCTGTACCACAGTATGCCCCCGACAGCATCTGCATATGAAGTGCATTTTCTGCTGCCGCTACATGCCACAGTTGTTGGTTTGTTTTCTCTTGAGTACTGGTTTGGTGACCTAACTCCTAAGCTACCGGTATAATTATAATAAGACCAGCATGACAACAAGTTTTGGAAAATCCAGCCAAACTAAATCTTTGAAAAAGCAGATTTTCTTGAACTTGCAGTTTTGTTTTACGCAAAAAAAGATAAATCCACTAGAAAGACGTCTTGCGCTGGCAAGGAAAAACAACCATGCGCTTCAGCCGGAAAAGTCGTCTCACTGCAATCGCCCTCCTAAGAAGCTCATTAGAATAGTAATATCATCGTGAGACGTTGTATCGAGTGGTGTGGGCGAATGCCTGGGTAACCAATAGCTATGAAAAGAGAGAACAATGGGTGCTACAGGTGGAATCCTGATAATTCGAATATGGCTTAATTCGAACATACCGCTTAATTAGAAGTTTTACCAGGACCGATTTCTAGCAATACGGGTCCCACATAAATATTTCTGATAATTCGAACCTCGAACTGGATATGTCCGGTTAATTCGAAGCCCCACAGATTCCACTTACATAGAAAATGTGTGGGGTTTGTGCTGATAATTCGAAGTTAGCAAAGTGTAATTCGAAGTTCACTGTACATTGTACTGGTCAGTTCAGTTTGCATGAGCAGGCTGTGCCGGTCAGTTCAGTATCCGCGAAATCTGTGTCTAAGGTCCATAGCGCAACTCTGCTTGACCACAAGACCATTTTGACATACATATTGTATCAAAAAGTATTCTTTCTAGACCAAAGAGTGGTATATTTGATAACATTTAATAACGATAGAAATTTTTACGATACTTCTCCAGACGTTTCGTTGTTCTGAACAACATCGTCAGTGGATAAAGAATGTTTTTTATCCACTGACGATGTTGTTCAGAACAACGAAACGTCTGGAGAAGTATCGTAAAAATTTCTATCGTTATTAAATGTTATCAAATATACCACTCTTTGGTCTAGAAAGAATACTTTTTGATATTACAATGAGAGTGAATAATCAACGGCTTGTCCACCAACTCATACATATTGTGTTGTGGGTTCATGTTTGGATAATTAGAATGTCCGGATAATTAGAAGTTTTTTTCCTGGCATTTTGAGGTTCGAATTATCAGGATTCCACCTGTATCGTCCGTTCTTGCTCCTCGACTATAGTCGCTGTTGAATACTGCTGATAAACGAATGTATACGTCTAATACAAAAGACATTTCCCAGCCACGTATCACCACCATGAGTTCGTAACTTAGAGACTTGCCACTTCGTAACATTGCTTTATCGATTTCGGGGGCATACACATGATGACTGACCTGGGGGACGTCAACATTCACATAATTTACTAATTTCATTCAATTCCTATGAATTGGGCTCGCTTCAACAGGCCTTGCCGACCTTCCATGAAGCCAATATTTTGCTAGCTGAAGCTTCAGTAGGATAACTCCAGACGGCCAAAAAAGAAACTTCAGGTTGGCCTCGACAGGCCCAAGGAATGCAATACTGTTACACTTTGTTTTTTCTATGTTTCTCGTCGGCAAATTTTAACAAAAGGTTTGTGGGCGGGCGGAAAAAACAAAAGCCAAGGAAAAACAAGAACTGAAAACTGTATACATTTTACATGTATATGCGTGATTCATACAAGACGCTGCCATGTATACCATGTATACAGTACTACATTGTACAATCATGTACATGTACATGTAGTCCCATACATGATAGCACTACATTATCACATCAGCCCACGAATATCAGGCAAACTGCAACAATGAGAGTATAAAGTTTGATGAATACGAGATGGCGAAGAGAACATGCATTTATCTGCTATCGCATCAACAAACGCTTTCCCACTCGTTATTTTTGGTTTTGTTACTTCAATGTTCTTGTGTCCGCTTATCAAACTCTTGTACCAACGCTGCTCATCTTTTCCTCGCCATGCGTCTATTGCTTGGATTTTCTCCCCACAACATCATTCCACAGACGCCATTTGCCACGGAACTCGTCCGACTTACGGTATTCCTGGGACCCACGAGGCTCAGGCAGTGAACGACTGAAAACGTGAAAGCTTCGTCATGGCAGCCTTCATCGCAGAGAACGGACGGGGAGCGCTCCTTTGCTGCTGTGGTGCACGCGTTTACGATTTTGATTGACGCATCTAGCTGCTGCAGCATGTGCAGCATACATACATGTACATGTACATAGTACATGTATGAACGTTTTTTTTCTTTTCAAATTTCTGAAAACCTACGCGGGCGATGACGAGAAACATAGAAAAAACAAGTGTGGCCTTACATCATGACAAATGTTACATAACAGCAGATCACCTCGTACATGGAATGCATGTTTGCAGTGCGGCACGAGTTGCACGCGTGTCGATCACATGCATGTGCCTGGATATATTGCGCTTTGCACCGAAGCACAGTGACTTTTATCGCGTTTTGCAGAAGAACACGAATTTCAGGCATCATTTTGACTGGGATGTGTCGCGGTTTGACTTGTAAAGCCGACACACAGACATCCGTGGGGTGAAAACGAATTTGTTCGTGACAGAAAAATGCGAAAGCTCAGGTTTGGCGTTTATCGTGTTTTAAACTGGAGCCTTCATATCTACCATACCTTCAAGTTGTTTTAGTGTCCGGCTATTTGATATCTGTGTGATGTCACAGTGCTCTGTGTGTTTTCTTTTCATCCTCTCAGTGAGAACTTTCCATCCATGTGTTCGCAAGTTCTTCGATCGCACACCGACGAGGTGAGTTGTGTGCTTTGAGAGTAATATCATGTACCATACTGTTAGTATTTCTGCGTATTAAAAGTCGCTCTGTCGATTTTGCATTGCACTAATCACGAATTAGGCGTGTTGCTTACCGTCCTCGTTTGTCTGTGTGGCTCCCTCAAGGTATGGTATTGCACTTGGAGCCATGATGGAAAGATACTTGCGTCGTGCTCCAAAGACGGATCGGTCATTCTTTGGGAACTCGATGTAAGTCAACAGCCTATGTTTTGCTATGCTTACCTGAGAGCTTCTTACTTTCCTTCTCCTTTTTTTAACCATCTTCTTTTCTTGTTCATGTAGTTGCCGCTCTTTCATGTGACTCTTGATTGGAATCTTGTGTGTTTGTTTGTTTGCGGGCTTGTTTGTGGGCTTGTTTGCGGGTTGGTTGCAGCCAGGGTTTACCGGGTAGTGGCGGCTGTCGTGAGTTCCCTTTGGGAACGGACACGATAATTTACTCTTTTTTGTTGTTGTTGTTTTTGCAGCCGGACACAATGCAATTGTCTAAAATGAAGTCTTTATTAGGTCACCGACGGGGTGCAAGCTACTGTTCCTTCAGTCCTGACGGCCGCTATCTGGTGGTGTGCGGTGCGACAGAACCTGAAGAAGCACGACTTTGGTCAATCCCGGTGGGTGGTTTCTTGTGTACATAGGGTGATGGGACTATATGAAAAATCCAATTACACGTGTGCCCCAACACGTATCTTGTTCCTAAACATTCCTGTTTCATCCTACTCCTTTGCAGTTCCTCTTTCCTCTTACCCCTTTTTTGGTACTGGGAGCGAGTGCTGTAGTAAAGACCCTTTGTATATGGACGGTCCGCTTCACTGTGCTCGGAGATCACACGAATAGATTTTAATCTGTGTAGAGACTGTAAACATATGCGGAGTTAGCTTTGCACTGAAACGGATACGGAAAGATGGTATAAACACTCGGACTGGCGTGACTTTTTGTCCCACGCTCGTGTGGAGTCAACGGGTCTCCTAGGTGTCCTTCTTCAGCTTTAGCCGAAAAGACCAGCGCTGGTGCTGGTGCTGGTCCGGCAATTCACTATTTTCGTATACAGTCTTGGTGCACAGCTTGGTCTCTGCCTGCTCTCCTCTAAACGTGGGTCTCTCTAGGGCAGGCGCAGCGCCGCACACCATGCTGTTCTCCTTTAAATGTGGGTCGCTCTAGGGTAGCGCTGCGGACCCTGCTGTTCTCCTCTAAATTTGGGTCGCTCTAGGGTAGCGCTGCGGACCATGCTGTTCTCCTGTAAATTTGGGTCGCTCTAGGGCAGCGCTGCGGACCATGCTGTTCTCCTCTAAATGTGGGCCTTTCTAGGGCAGCACTGCAGACCATACTGTTTTCCTCTAAACGTGGGTCGCTCTAGGGCAGCGCTCCAGACCATCAACCTGCAAAGGGTCTATATTCACTCTGATGTGTGTACATCACAATTGAAGACGAATGTGCACATCCTCACATCAACACAGTGGTTAAATGACCCGCCATGCAGTGTATGATCTCTTCTCCGTCAGTGTCTGCCTGATTCTAACACTGTCATGGGGTGTGTGTGTGTTTGTGGTGTTGTACAGGGAGGTGAGACTGTTGCGCAATTAAAGCACAATGACGACAGCTACACGACCTGTGCGTGGTTCGCTGACAGCTCCAAGTTTGTGGTTGCCAGCATGCGGGGCCACTTCGCCATGTGTGTAAGTCCTACAGTATTACTGCTGTGTGCTGCTGGTACTGGGCGTTGGTGCTAGGCGGTGACGGTTTTGCTGATGCTGCTGATTGATCGATTCTCCCCTCCAGTGGAATATCAACTGTATGAGTTGCTACATTGGGAAAAGCATGCTATGGTGGGGAACACTAATCTCGTATTCTTATTGCCTTCCAGAATACGCATGGAGCGGTGACACGGACATGGGATGGCGTTCGTGTACAGAGCGTAGCAATTCCGTCTTCATCAAACAAGTTCGTTTTGGCCGCTGACAGCCTAAAGCGTGTTCGTCGCTACGACTTTGATGCTGAACGAGCATACGAAGTGTACGTGCATGTATTTGCTTGTTGATTTCGAGCAATAATGTGCGGTCAGTTTCAACTGTTGTTTTCACATATACAGGGACCCAATGTTCTGCCCACCCTGTCAGGATTCTGATACAGTAGTAGTTTGCCTGCTGTACTTACCGTATTTTCCAGAGTATAAGCCGCACCCCCCCCCCTTTTTAGGTGAATTTTGAGTGTTCAAAGTGCGGCTTATATACTCCGGAAAATACTGTAGCTTGCTGTGTGTGCCAACACCAGTCAACCATTCCTTTTATTCCAAGCTTCCCCGCAGTTGGCAGTCGTCATCAGTTCCTTTGCTATTATTATAATTCCCGTGTCTCGAACATTGTTGCTGCTGTTTCCACTGTAGTGTTAGTGAAGACTACAACATCATGTCAATGACGTTATCCAAAGATGAACGCTATGCTCTCATCAACTGTGCCAATCAGGTAAGAGCTGTCTAGTGCCCTCATGCTGCATGCCCATGGATTCTTTCCCCACTCTATTGTCAGATTTCTTTTGACTCTTTGAATTCCAGTGACCGAGACATAATACACCGGTATTATTGGCGATTACTTACTGACTCGTGAACTTTTGCTGACACTTAGCTCGTAACAGTTTCCGCCCCGGTGTATCCGGCATACTGTACGTGGGGAAGGAGAGGAGGTGCTGGTAGTTTGTTTGTAAATGGTCGAAACACAGAGCATTGTCCATAGGGCTGACAACATGGTACATGTACATGTATTACAGTTTACATTTCCTTTAGCATTGCAAATAGCTGCGCACTCTCCAGCCGTTTAAGAGCATACTCCTGTATGATAATACACTAAATACAGTTATTAATACTAGGCCAGATAAGTCTTACGGTCACTGCATGCGGACCCGTGTTCCGCCACACAGAATTTTCGAATCACGTAGGTGACCTTGGCAACTCCGAACGCAACAGGGTACGACCTAGGGAGAGAGAGGGTTATAAGTTTATACCCCAATCCACTTACGGAGCACCTCCGTTATCAGAGCCCTCATACATACTCTACGTAGATAATTTTCCGTAAGTGGAGTGCAAACTCGCGAATTCACACGCTCACTTACGTAATGTTGCTCAACTGTACGTAGTGCAGGACCCCTCTAATGCTTGGACTATGGACGCGTGTGTTTTTTTGTTTTGTGGCCATGTTGTAGGGCATTCACGTGTGGGATATTGAAGACAGGTGTCAAGTGCGTCGCTACCGTGGCTTACTCCAGTCCAATTACACTATATATTCCGTGTTCGGTGGTCGCAATGAAGACTACATAGCGAGTGGCAGTGAAGGTACGTCTGTCAGTTTGTGTCCCCTGCAGCTGTTGGAATTGATTCATGGTCCCTCGGATATCGTACGCTCATCATTTGGTTTTTCAAATGTGCACCTCGCTTGATTTCGCTATGGTCAGCTTGGAAGATACTCCAAAGTGTGTTTAGAGGGCAAACTGACTGGAAAAATTCCTCAGCTCAGAAAAGACTCCAAAGTAGTTTGTTTAGAGGGCGAGATGACTGAAAGAATTCCTCAGTTTAGAAGATACTCCAAAGTTTGTTTAGATAGCGAGATGACTGAAAGAATTCCTATATCCTCTGCACCCTGTACATGTACCCGGTTCTGATAGTTTGTGTTCTTTCTACGCTTTGCACTGTAGATTCCAAAGTGTACATCTGGCATCGGTCTTGCTCCACACCGTTGCGTGTTCTGAGTGGCCACACGAGAGGTGTGAACAGCGTTGCCTGGAACCCATGTTATCCCTCCGTTCTTGTGTCGGCTAGTGACGACGAAACACTCCGTGTCTGGTGCCCCACCGAAGTCGGCAGTAAGTATAATACAATGTATCTGTTTCGTGATTGTAATCGACAAGTAACGTGCTCCACTGCCCGATAGAGTGCTCAGTGTCTGTGAAGGCAGAGCTCTCCACACATTCAACTCAGAGTTGCGACGTAGCCTCTTTCTGTCTCTCTACTGACTGTGTAACTGTTACATGATTGTGTACATGTCCATGCCAGAGGTCTCCTCTCAGTCAGTGGGTTGCGAGTCATGCATAACCAGATGTGTGTGGTGGGGTGGGGGAATGTGTGTGTGTGTGTGTGTGCGCGCGTGCATGTGTGCGTGCATGTACGTGTGTACATGTGTGTGTGCATGTGTGCGTGCATGTGTGCGTGCATTTATGTGTGTGTGTGTGTGTGTGTGTGTGTGTGTGTGTGTGTGTATGTGTGTGTGTGTGTGTGTGTGTGTGTGTGTGTGTGTGTGTGTGTGTGTGTGTGTGTGTGTGTGTCCCAGTGCAGTGGTATGTGCAGCGATTTCCAATCGATAGGTTGCGGGTTCGATTCCCGACGATTATGGTCACACACGTCTTTCTTCTCTTTCTCAGACTCTTCCTGACTTTTCTTTCATTCTCCTGGGTGGTTACCAACAGCCAGTGCATGCCGGAGTATGTGGTGTGATGTGTGTGCGGGAAAAAAGAAAAAAAAATGGAAATGAAAAGACCAAAAATAGGGATTCACTGGCCAGAAAAACCACTTCAAATAGCTGTATGGTGTAGACCAGGCTGAATAGTGACGGTCAATTCTTCAGCCTTGCAAGCTGTTGAATGGTGCAATCCCGGCACAAGTTGCTATGGCTTCTGCCGTAGCATTGCTATCATCGCCTCCGGCGATGGGCGTCAAAGGTGTGTGTGTGTGTGTGTGTGTGTGTGTGTGTGTGTGTGTGTGTGTGTGTGTGTGTGTGTGTGTGTCCCATATGGTGCAGTGGTATGTGCAGCGATTTCCAATCGATAGGTTGCGGGTTCAATTCCCGACGATTATGGTCACACACGTCTTTCTTCTCTTTCTCAGACTCTTCCTGACTTTTCTTTCATTCTCCTGGGTGGTTACCAACAGCCAGTGTATGCTGGAGTATGTGGTGTGGTGTGTGTGTGTAGAAAAAATGGAAAAATGAAAAATAGGGATTCACTGGCCAGAAAAAGTCACTTCAAACAGCTGTGTGGTGGATACCAGGCTAAAAATAATGGCGGTCAATTCATCAGCCTTGCAAGCTGTTGAATGGTGTAATCCCAGCACAAGTTGCTATGTCTAACATAGCTGTTCGCTATCATCGCTTCCGCGATGGGCATGTCTGAGGTCTGAGGTGTGTGTGTGTGCGTGCGTGCGCGCGTGCGTGCGTGCGTGCGTGTGTGCCATATGGTGCAGTGGTATGTGCAGCGATTTCCAATCGATAGATTGCGGGTTCGATTCCCGACGATTATGGTCACACACGTCTTTCTTCTCTTTCTCAGACTCTTCCTGACTTTTCTTTCATTCTCCTGGGTGGTTACCAACAGCCAGTGCATGCCGGAGTATGTGGTGTGATGTGTGTGCGGGAAAAAAAAGAAAAAAAAAGAAAAAAGAAAAGAAAAAGAAAAAAATGAAAAAGACCAAAAAAAGGGATTCACTGGCCAGAAAATGTCACTCCAAATAGCTGTATGGTGTAGACCAGGCTGAATGGTGACGGTCAATTCTTCAGCCTTGCAAGCTGTTGAATGGTGTAATCCCAGCACAAGTTGCTATGGCTTCTGCCGTAGCATTGCTATCATCGCCTCCGGCGATGGGCGTCAAAGGTCAATGTGTGTGTGTGTGTGTGTGTGTGTGTGTGTGTGTGTGTGTGTGTGTGTGTGTGTGTGTGTGTGTGTGTGTGTGTGTGTGTGTGTGTGTGTGTGTGTGTGTGTGTGTGTGTGTGTGTGTGTGTGTGTGTGTGTGTGTGTGTGTGTGTGTGTGTGTGTGTGTGTGTGTGTGTGTGTGTGTGTGTGTGTGTGTGTGTGTGTGTGTGTGTGTGTGTGTGTGTGTGTGTGTGTGTGTGTGTGTGTGTGTGTGTGTGTGTGTGTGTGTGTGTGTGTGTGTGTGTGTGTGTGTGTGTGTGTGTGTGTGTGTGTGTGTGTGTGTGTGTGTGTGTGTGTGTGTGTGTGTGTGTGTGTGTGTGTGTGTGTGTGTGTGTGTGTGTGTGTGTGTGTGTGTGTGTGTGTGTGTGTGTGTGTGTGTGTGTGTGTGTGTGTGTGTGTGTGTGTGTGTGTGTGTGTGTGTGTGTGTGTGTGTGTGTGTGTGTGTGTGTGTGTGTGTGTGTGTGTGTGTGTGTGTGTGTGTGTGTGTGTGTGTGTGTGTGTGTGTGTGTGTGTGTGTGTGTGTGTGTGTGTGTGTGTGTGTGTGTGTGTGTGTGTGTGTGTGTGTGTGTGTGTGTGTGTGTGTGTGTGTGTGTGTGTGTGTGTGTGTGTGTGTGTGTGTGTGTGTGTGTGTACATGCATCATCCACTTGCCCTGTATGGCTTAAACATGCTTAGTGCTGTGTTGTGTCATTGTGCCACTTCACTCTGTAGATGGTGCTGATGACACTGACTCCATATCGGCCGGCAACGATCGCTCTATACCTGCCGTCGATAGGTTGTTCAGTGTAGAAGAAGTTGAGGGACCACTAGAGGATGACTAGAGTTCTCCAGATTACGTTATCACGCCATGCCCTTTGATCACGGTGGAGTCTTCAGTGGCTTCCAAATGGAAATCTGTGGGGAGAAAGTAGCACGTCACTGCTCTGGAATATTCAGACTTGGACCCATATCATTGTCGCGGTCGTCGTCATTTCATCCTTTTGAATGCCGTGTTTGAAGAAAGTCAAATCAACAGATAAGTACTTTTGTGGGGTGTTTGTCCAGTTCTCCAACGCCACCAACGTTGTAAGAAACACCTGTCTTCGCCCCACTTCCTCTTTTTTTCTTTGCCCCATTGTTGACGTCGTCGATGCTGCTCCTCTTGCCACCATTGCTGTTCAGTGTTGCTTTTCCCATGGCCGACTTCTTGTGAAGTGGTGTTGCTCGTGTTTGGAGGTCATCCACTTGTTGATTCTTGCTTTGCTACTGTATTTAGCATTGCCGTCATCATCATCTGTCTTTGTCATCGTTGTTGTTGTTGTTGCTGCTGCTGCTGCTGCTGTTGCTGTTGCTGTTGTTGTTGTTGTTGTTGTTGTTGTTGTTGTTGTTGTTGTTGTTGTTGTTGTTGTTGTTTGAATTTGCATTCTTTATTCTCACAATGGCACCATCATCAATAAGTTGTTGTTGTCGTCGTCGTCGTCGTCGTCTTATTGTATTTGTTGGGAGTCGGCACCTTGGTCCTGTACAGTTGCATCAGTGTATGATGCTATCCGGCCAGTGTTTGACATTGCCGTGCTTTTCTATTGGTAAACTTTCCCTTTGGTTATGCTCGATGAAATTTGGCCTATCGAAATAAGTTAACCTTACCCTGCAGGCTGCACCAGTACACAACCAAGTATTGGCAGCACTAGGAAGAGCTGCGCAGCACCAACTGTTGTTCATCGAGTGCGACTGTAGTTTTTGTTGCTCCAATGTGCTACATGTATTATAAATCAGCCGCATACTTCATTCACACTAGTATCATCCTATCGTGTCTCGACTATCCATCTTATTTTATTGGCTCGCTCCTAGGACATTTCTTTTTTAACCTGACCAAACCATGTCCTTGTTTTTAACCCTGTCCATTCTCTAACCATCATAAACTGCTCTCATCAGTGTGCGTGTGGCGTGCGTGTGTGTGTGTGTGCGTGTGTGTGTGTGTGCGTGTGTGTGTGTGTGTGTGTGTGTGTGTGTTGCACAATCTGCTTCTATGCTGTTGGTTACCGTATATATACAAGTTATTCACTTCTCCATCGTATCGTCATCTTTATTTTCCTGCTGCATGTTTTTATTTTGTGCTGTGCTTTTATCTCTGGCATGTTTTGTGTTGGTACATTATTGTATTACTTAAAGTATTTTTCTTCTGGAATGTACTGCTGAAGCACATGGTCGCAGTGAACTGAAAACTAACTCAAGACTGAATCCTGGCTGATCTTCTTTGTGGTGGTTGCTTTCTTGTTGTGCCAGTACCATTCGGGCAGATAAAAACAATGTGCGGCAGTTAGTTCAAATATTTCATGTTACGTCAAGACATGTTCAACAATGCATCATATAGATGGAAAATACATATGAAGGCATACAATGACTGGAAATACAATGACTGGACAGAAGGAAAGCAGACGATCTAAAATGTGTATAAAATCACATTTTCGTGAATTTGAAGGATGCTACAATTTTCATGGTTTAAACTTTAGTACTTTTTACATGTGTACAGCTGAAGATTTCATGATGTGATAACAAGAGTACATGGGTTATGTACTCTTGCCAGTCTTGGTGATAATTATAAGATGTGACTGATTTCTTGATGGCATGCATGCATGGGTCCGGGTTGGTTGGTGCGTTCGATCATACGATGGCGTACTGCTCATACAACAACTGCCGGACTTTGTAGTATTCTTCACAAAGAATGCCTTCGAGACCGATACGGCCAGATTCGTTCTATCAAGAGAAGGAAAGGGAATGCAGATTGAAAACAAGAATGGAAACAAATTCAAAACTTTGTGGAAGGAAGACGGTAAAGAATACACAAGTACAAAGAGATATATTCGCATGACTCCTCGAGCGGCCAGATCCAAGCAGAACGATCAAACAAATAATTATTTTGTCAAAGAAGAAGAAAAAAAGAAATGACCTCCCCGGCCGGGAATCGAACCCGGGTCTTCCGCGTGACAGGCGGAGATACTTACCACTATACTACCGAGGATTGTCTACATAACACAGGTCAAGAGCAGTATAAAATCCACACTACCCGATGGAGAAAGGACTGAAATTGAGCAAAACTGACACAACCCCTGGATCCATGGAGTGGCTGCTACTGATAAGGGGTGACGCGTGCACTTTTTCTCTGACAACCTGGATAGCTTCAGCTAAGTACAAATCTCACTGTAGATGGTTCTCAGCGGGCATTTGTACTACAGGTGGAGTCCTGGTAATTCAAACCCCAAATTGACGGGGAAACTTCTAATCATCCAGCCCATCGTGTCAAAAGGCTCACATGGTCGCACCGAGTTGCGATATGCACTATAGACACACATTCTGTACACTCTGCACTGGCCAGAACAGTCTGCTTGCGAACACTGAACAAACCAGTACATTGGACAGCGAACTTTGATTTATGCCTCGCTAACTTCAAGTTATCAGCAGGAATCCCACACATTTATATAAAGCGGATTTCGTGCGACGCCTAATTTAAAAGTGTACTTGCCAAGTTCGAGGTTCGAATTATCTTTTAAAAGCCATATTCGATTTATCAGAGTTTCACGTGTACTGAGAAGGGGTCACAGGCGCACTTCGTCTCTGACAACATGGATACTGTAGCTTCAGCTAAACGCAAGCCTGACTAGATGGTTCTTAGCAGGCATTTGTACTCTTGTTACCATGATAACCAAGGTCAAGTGCCGGTTAGTACTGGCAATATGTATTCTAAGAAGAAACATGTGGAAGGATTACCGTATTCTCCGGAGTATAAGCCGTGCTTTGAACACTCCAAATTTACCCCAAAAAAGGGGAGGGGTACGGCTTATACTCCGATGATCAAATTAACGGTGATAAATAGGATAGATGTCTGTATTTCGTGGCAAAAAATCAGGGGGGGGGGTGCGGCTTATGCTCCGGAAAATATGGTATGCTGTCCTGCCTGTATGCTAAATAAAGTGAGCAGTCACTCCACGAGTAAAGAAGCCATTTAGACTAGAAGCATGTGGGTTCTTGTAGGAGCACACCTAGAACTACAACTACGAGTTGTAATATTAAAACATCAAATGCAAAAGCAGGAAGATGGTATGATGCGGTACCTGATGTCCATAAAAATGCTGAATGCATGTTGCACGGGCACTTCAGTGCTTCATTTCATTTCAGCCTGGTTCCCTTTCTCATTTCATTTGACCTCATTTGACTGATTTTGCCCAAAGCAAAGGTAAATGGATGTTTCTCACAGAAATCTCAAGTTTTCAAAACGACTTACAGCTTGCTGAGAACCAAAGTTCAACTACTTCAGTGGAAGAGTTGGCTTCTAACTTAATAGTTAATACTGTTGGGAGTACTGAGAGCAAATAAGCTAGCTCCCAGGAGCGTGCAACTCTGGATACCCTTGTTATGGGGCCTGCCAACGGTGAAAACGCACATTATGTGGCGTGGGGTTCACGTTCCCAGTCTGCTTCTAGCGAGAAGTAGAGTAGTAAAAATAACACTCCCTGACAAAAACTCACTCACCTACTAGTAGTAAATGCGAATCATCAACATGGTCATGGCAGATATCCGGACTGCACACATGCTAGCCTGGGTTGTACGTCGTATGAAATGTACTTGGAACACGTGATGTGATTTTTGGCCTGCACACTCTTGGGAGCTCATTTACCGTTGGTAGCACATGAACACGTGCACTGCGCAATGTATTGTACCATTGATTAAACAGTCAACGCTAAACAAGAATGACAAGATGCAATGTAGAACTGACCTTTCTAACTGCCACCCGGTCGTTGATTATCAGCACACCGCCAGAGAACTCAGCCTGCAGCCAACAACACCATGTACATGCACAAGATCACGCTGTTATACTATGGTAGTGCTCGCTACTACAGTAATGAAATGAGTTCTTGTGGTAACAGGCAACATCGTGCCGACAACCAGCATGTAACTAGCACTCCTAAGCATACCTAGCTGTGGGGAGGGGGCATGCGAACGGAACACGCCACGTGTGCACCGAGCTGTAACTTGTACCGGCAAAGAAGCAATCGCACGCAGCCTACCTGAATGCCAGCCTTGCTGAGCACCTGCTTGAAGTCCGAGAGCCGTGGCTCGTTGAGGAAGACGGCCTCGTGGGGTGGCACCTATACAAAGATAAACGCAGGACGAACAGACAGGGTTAACTTTAGACTACAAGTCACACCTTTTACCCTTAACTGCAGGGCCAACAAAGGGGCTGCGACTTACAATCGAGTATGATCACTACTGAAGTGAATATATCAAAATGATATGAGACATGGACCTGGAAATGGAGGTGCGACAGTCACATACAATCGGGGAAATACGGCAATACAGCCCTTGAATTCAATACGGGCACCCTGCACAGTGCAAAAAGCGAAACTAGAGGGGATGCACATGCAAGGGACTTGGAGACTGTGGACTTCTTTGTTGTCATTAGGTGTGAACCCCCCCCCCCCCCCAAAGAGCACAAAATACCCACATGTCTCCTCAGCAATTCCCTGCACATATATGTGTGCCAGCCTATCAATATCATGTCACAATGTGATTGGAGCTAATCTCTTCAACCAACATCACTGCACAGTGCACACACAATATACAGTAGGTATGGGTGTGGAACTGTGCAGGAATTTACCTGTGACGGAGGCAGGGTATCCAATGTCGGCACAGCTTGCAAGCCAATCGCAGCAGCAATTTCTGGCAAGCACAAGGCAAGCAGGGATAGAGAAGATCAACATCAAAACATGCAAAATCACATGTAACATGTGCACATTTCGTGAAGCCTAAGGGAAAAACAGGACAATACACTGCACGCTGCATTATTCGGCATACAAAGTCACTACACTAATGGCATTCAACTGCTACAAGGAAGAACATTTGGAGAACATTGAAATTAGCACGCTGTGGAAGAAGAAAGGCGCGCACGACCATGATTATTACCAGTAAACACGTGCACAAGACTAGTACATGTACTGTGTTCTCGGAGTTCGTGACCTCATGGAAATCAAACGTGAAATACTGGAGCGCACCAGCCTTGAGGAAGGACACAAGGCACACGACCATGCTCGTTTAGCCCCCAAGATCCGAAGAAGATGGAAGGGAGTTGAAAAACATTACAAATGTCTCCGTGGGCTTTACTTGCATGAGAAAAGTGAGGTTAGACAGGTGCAGCCCCCAAAACACCTACACTGTGAAGGTGACAGCATGGTGCACAATAATCAAAGTTGTGCAAGTGAATGTATGCAGCATCACCAGGTGCCGCTGGCAGTGTGGACATGGGCAGCAAAAGAAGCTGATTTAGACAACGCAGTGTAGAACAGGTCAGAATAATGAGAGCATGCACGAGAACATGTCGAACATCAATTATTGTAATAATGCAACAGCCCATCTGATTCCCCAGGTTTCGGTTGCATGATGTGGGCAGAGCGGTGCGCCAGACTCCATGCGTACAGTTGCATACTCTTGGGGAGTACGGATTCTTGCCAGTATGTATTTCAAGGACTTACCACTGTCTGATACATGTATTCTAGCATCTACCCATGCCAGCTCCATATCTTTGGCCGACGTAAACTTCAGCGACGTCACCAGCGAATCCTTCAGCCGTGCCTAACAGGTGTGCAGACGATAAAAGCAACGCATGGTATGTACATGTATGACATACACGTAACAAGGAGCACAACAAGGATACGAAGACAGAACAATTCCAACTGGATTCTTCTGCACAGTGAGTGTAGCAACCCCAGAGTTGATGTGCGCAAGCCCCTGCACAGCCACTTTGTGATAGATAACCCTTCTCACTACAAGGGTAGGGCACATGACGGCCGGGACATACACGTAACAAGGAGCACAACAAGGATACGAAAACAGAACAATTCCAACTGGCTTGTTCTGCACAGTGAGTGTAGCAATCCCAGAGTTGATGTGCTCAAGCCCCTGCACAGCCACTTTGTGCTAGATCACCAGCGCAGGGCACATGACGGCCGGGTTTTGACTGGGAAATGTTCGAGCAATAATGCCACACGATTCGAGAGAATAGAAGGCCGAAAGCATGCAAGGTAAGTGCAAAGAACTCTACTACAGCACTGCTCAATGAAATCCAGTCGCGTCACTCAAGTACGCAGCCCTAAGCCTGCGAATACTGGGCTGTAAAACGATGCAAGGCGCAAACTTGAGTATTACACGCCTGGGTTTCATTGAGCAGGACGTTAGTGCATACATGCACCTGTACTACACAGCAGCTCACCTGGAAAATATGGCTCTCGCATGTGGCGTCCACTGTGTCGCCGACCGCTGGACTCCAGACCTGATTGATGGACATGTCCTTGGCAGTGTGACAGTACTCCTGGAGATGTGAGCTGGCCTCGGCACTACCATGCACCAGGATCTGCAGGACAGGGCAGCAAAGCAGAGGAAAATCTTGCAACTGGAGCAGACCCTGAGCTGTTTGGCCAATCTGCAAGACTGCCACAGAGAAGGACAACCAGTACTCCTTCCACGGGAGACCAGAACGTATCCTCAAAGACCAGGGGGCCAGTTGCTAGGCAGTAGCCTAACAAAATCACATACATTGTAACAAGAGTCCATCACCAAGATGGTGCAACACCTATCTTGAGCTGCAATGGACTCGCCCGTGGCAGAATTATTTTTAATCGCCTCATGTGGCAAAGGCATGATCAAGTGCGTAAGCCTTTCCGCGTTTATGTATGAAGGGTGCTAGTTCATCGGGTTCAGCATGCATGGATCTACCGTCCACTGTTCTGCGTTGTCTACTGTAGCTGCCATGTGCAAGTTCTTTGCACCTTTGATCTCTGGCCAGTGGCTATGCAAGATGGCATCAGCGGGCCAGATACACGAAAACACTGATGCGATAAAAAAATCCACCATGTGCCCAGAAACTGTCGAGTTGCACATTCTTAGTTCTGTACTCTTGATCGTAGCGACAAGACAAAGAGCCTAGTCAAAGGGCAGATTCAATAAGCTGCTCAACACAGAACAATTGCCTATTCACAATATTCAAAACTCACAAGTTGACGAGGCTTGACCAAGTTCAGAATGCGCTTGATGGACTCGCCATCTGAACGTCCCTCGAAATCAATGAACTGACGTCGGCACCTGTATTGAGAAAGAAAATGAGATCACATAACGAAAGTTCAGACACATACTTGCGCCACGTTTTCCAAGTACACTGTACATTAAGCCTGTTTTATCTTCTTTTTTTTAGGCCTAAACCCATCCTACGACTTATACAGTCAGACCTCGCTTAACCGCACACATCCGTTTTCCACGAAAATATCCGGATAGGCGAGGGAACCGGGTAACTGAACACACATACTGTATATGCATGTGGCACATCAAAAGGGGTGGCATCGTACATCCACGTATACGGGTCCTATGCAGTACAACTAGCGTGCACAATACGTAAAAACAAGCGAGAAAAATGACAAGTGCATGCAACTGAGTGCTATCCGCATGCAGCCAGCAGGTCAAGGACTCCATTTGTTTGTACACCTCTCTGATTCTAGCTTCTGCAAGGCACGTGCAACCGGATACGACGAAGCTTCTTGTACAAATTTAAACCAGGTTGTACACAAAATCATGCACCGGTATGCGGATCGCGAGGTCCGGTTATGTTGTATGCGTAACGTATGCTGCACATTGGTAACCGGCTATTTTCTTCTGGATGGCGAGGGATCCGGATAAAAGAGGACCGAATAAGCAAGGTCCGACTGTACTCCCCAACAGGCATCTTAGCACAGGCACCAACTTGAATGTCACAGTTCGCCTCACCTGTTAACCAGGTATTAGTATTGCTAACCGGTACCATTTCACCCCCCCCCCCCACCCCGCATTCACTGCCAGTGACTTGTAGTACACAGGACAGTAGAAATCCATACATTGATGTAAACTTACCGCACGTCAATGCGCCGCATTGTTGTCACGACTTTAGTCGGAATGTCCACCTCAGCTTCTTTGCTCTTACCTGCAACGCGTGACAATGCAGAAAGCAGGAGGAGTTTCGAATCACTTGATGCATACGGCTATCCAATAGAAGTGGGTGAGTGGGTGCAATTTACGGACTGAAAGAGTAGCCAACCAACACCACTTTGCGTTCAAAGCTCAAGCACAGGATGGTTACTTTAAAATATAAAAAAAGACAACTTGATGGCTTCATTTTTCTCCAAAGGCAATGAAACGTAGAAGCAACCAACTTCAAAGGCAATGAAGGGTAATACAAACCAAAGGCAAAACCAGGGGGAGCGCACACACACACTCGATGCTGGCTTCAGAACGAACATCTCACATTTCGATCTCTAAGCCACATAAGCACATGCCAAAGTCAGATCGACAAATTTAGGCGGCGAACGTGCCCCGGTGGTAGCGTGGATATGCAAACTTTACTTTATAATAAGTTTACATGTACCGTAAAGTACCGCCAGAGCGCCCCGTCTCGCGAGAGCGCCCCACCTTGATTTTACAGCCAGGGAAAGGAAATTCGTATGGCACAATGCAACGAAATGTGTACGGTGTGAGAACTTTAGTGTACTATAAAGGTAACACTTGGCAGGTTTTTGTGTGGAGCTCATGTCCGCTCGAAGGCAAATTGAGTACGGATTGAGTGCACAGCGTGCGATGTGTGTACAAGGTTCGTGTCGTATGACCTACAGGTGGGAAATCACCTCCACAGTACGACCACGAAAGGACGAGATGGTGGGGCGCTCTGGCGGTACTTTACGGTACTTCACGTGCCCCTGTGCTCCACACGGGCTATGTAACTAGGTAGATAACTACCCGAGCGTAAAATAACATGCCGCCTGCACTTACCTGGTTCCTCTTTTACTGCGTCATCATCCATTTCTTCCTCGGCTGCATCCTCCTGGCACACAGAAGTGCAGAATAGAAAACAGGGTTAACGGTTACAATTGGTTCGGCCAGTCACTCTGAGCCCCACTGATGAGACATCACATGGCCGAAACAACTAGCTGTTCCAAAAGGTTAGAAAACACAGTGCAGGACTGGTGGAAGCAGTTTTTGATTGGTCCGGACATACAATAGTCTTCCATACTTTGTGTATGATACGGCGGGGACACATGACTCCAGCAGTTAACATGTATTGGTGGCTAAACAGGACACGGCCTGACTAGCCACACCGGTTCTGCCGTCCCTGCAATGTCTATGCCGAGTATTACATCTTTTTATTGCTTGTATTTTTCCAAAACAAAGCATACAAGATTGCCAATTGCAAGCTCACCTCCGGCTTTTCCTCGGGCACGGCAGATTGAAACTTGACGTAGTCTTCTCGCCTGCATACAGACACACACACACACACACACACACACACACACACACACACACACACACACACACACACACACACACACACACACACACACACAAACACAGACACACAGACACACACACAGACACACACACACAATCCCCACAATTCCCACAAAAATACTCAACACATGGAAACAAAATAGAGGATACCAGCGCAAAAAGAACGAACACAACAAACACAACCTTGGAAAAAGGCCTCAGTGAGAGATCATACATTTCACTTGAACCAATATTGGCATAATTATATTATTTTGAAGTGCTTGTGAATGTGCAACAATGACATGTAGTTGAATGGCTACCGGTATTCTTGTGAAAACACTTGGTAACAGCCAAACAGTGCATACAAAAGGTGAACTCACTTGATAATCTGGCCATAGTCATCCCACTTGATTTTCTCTTCGGCAAACGGGAACATCACGTGCATTTTATGCTGCTTGAAAAAGCTTCTCGGGCGTGCCGCCTGTGTACGCAGTGAACACCGTGAACAGAACAGACGGTTGTGTTGGGAGACTTCGGTCTAGGTTTAACTGACACGCACACACACGCACACACACACACACACACCTTGGATACACTTCCATATTCTGGCTATGCGGACCCCATGGGGGGGGGGGGGGCAAATGATGCAGAATGATGCAGAAGTAGCTACAGTCTGTGTTGGTTGCTCTGGCCGAGCCACGGCTGCAGCGGGCGCAGTGGAAGCTGCAGCGTTTGCAGGGCATATTGTTCGTAACTGGTGACTCCAATGTGTCAGAAGATGCCTCTGCTGATGATGTTGCTGGCGAGCACTTGTGTTCGGCAAATCCACCCTTGCTCCGGAACCATCTGTCGCACTGGTCGCAGTGACAGCTTTCTGCCTGTGGTCTTACTGGTAGTGCACAGGTAGCTGTACACTTGTGCCGCTTCCTGTCACTTACACAGCTGAAGGAGCGGTGACAAGTTGGCCACCCAGCAGGTGATGGTCGAGGTCTGTTCTGCTTGTCTGGCAAATAACAGTAGGCCTTGCGCCATTTGGAGCAAGAAGAGGTGGCTACTTCATACCAGTCGTCAAGTGGATTGACGTCACTTCGAACGCAGTCTCACCACCTTTTCCGTGGACCATGGGCAGGTCTCTTGTTTGGAAACGAACACACACACACACACACACGCACACACACACACACACACACACACACACACACACACACACACACACACACACACACACACACATGCACGCACACACTCTCTTCACTTCCTTCCTTTTTCACTTTTCTTTCATCCCACTTATCCAGGAAACTCCCCTGACACGAGTCGTAAGTGTCCATTTACTTTAGGAGAATCCTTCAAATAAAATCTGAATGAATGGTTAACGTGTGTGACTACGTCCGGACTGGAGGAAGTTTCAAGTTGTCCCTTGAAAAATTCCCTCAAAGTCAGCTGTACAGTCACATACTTACTTCATCTCCTGGCGCGGATAGATGGCGAGAAACGGCCGAAGCGGGTACGGACTGTCGCCGTGCTGCATCACCGATATCCATGGCTTGCTCAACGCCTGGCGTGTGGAAGGAGCCATTCACACCTGGTGGGGCCATCTCGTCGTCCGTATCATCGCTATCATACATGTCATTCTGGGCAAGGTGCCTGCAAGAACACACAGATACAGACGGGGATAATGGTACGGTCTTGTTGAAAACTGCAAACGATGAGAAACACAACCAGCTTTGGAAGTTTCGCTCGTGCCAGGCCACCAGCTTGCCTAACTACACCAGGAAGGAAATCCAAAACAAAATAAGAGAGTTTGTGACCAGGTCAAGGTATAAGTGTGATATTATGGGGCACTTTGTGGTATTAAATTTCTAATCTTGCAATAACATTTCTTTGCCGATGTGTTTTTCCTTATCCGCTTGCATACAGGATATGGTGGAATTTCCATCTGTGTACCAAGCGGCTCTTTCAGAACCCACTATGGGCCAGGTGGAGCAAAACTGAGCTCTTCTTCACTCTCTGATGGCAAGAGGGCAGGTAAACCGAGTGCCCGGAAACATATCTCTCCACTGATGTCGCCAGCAGTGTTCCTATGAACCCTTCGGAACTAGCAAGCAGTATTTCGGCTACTACAGTCCTTGGACCCTGGCTCTGGTGAGCTCCCGTATTTCGCGATTTTTTAAGATTTTATCGTATACAGTCAGACCTCGCTTATCCGGTCCTCGTTTATCCGGATCCCTCGCCATCCGGAAGAAAATAGTTGGTTACAAATGTACAGCATATGCCATGCTTACATACAGTATGTGTGTTCGATTATCCGGTTCCCTCGCCTATCCGGATATTTTTGTGGAAAACGGATGTGTGCGGTTATGCGAGGTCTGACTGTACAGTGCAGTGCTGCGAAATTTGAAATTTGAAAAAAGGGTCGAAAAAGGGTACCTGAACTGGGGTTCGAACCGCACAATGCACTGTTGCAGGCAGGGTCAAACGACCTGGATTTTGATGGTTT